AATCATTATTTAACAAATATATTTAACAAAAAAATATATATAATTAGTAACACATGTATTATCTATACAGTGAAACAAAAGCGCAATACTTAATACTCTGAAATGCCACAACTAAGAAAAAAATACACTGAGAATGACAATCATGGTCAGTAAAATCCAAAATAGCTCAAATAGTTGTGTATTTTTTAAGTAAGGTTTGGGTTACATAATAAACAAAACCAACAGAATAATATTATGATTGTGTCAATTATAATGTAATTGTAATATAAAACAAAAATTCAAAAAGTGGAGTATAAATTACATTTATAAAAATAGGTGTGATTGGTAAGAAAAGCAAATAAGAAGATAGAAAAAAAGATTCGGAGCAAAAAGCTGAAAATAAAGAAGACAAAAATAGGCAATAGGACAGCTGGAATAAAAAGCATACATTTTAATATGGATAGAGATAATAAAGTCTCGTGTAAGAAAATAAAAAATAAACAATTGAACAAAGAAAAAAATTTACAAGAATATATAAATTATTTATAATTTGTACAACTTATACAGAATTGAAGGGTGGGGGGGAATACAAAACACATATAATACATTATTTACACTACATACAAAGTACGACAAAGAACAAAATAAAATCTTTTCTTTAGATGCGAGGAAAATGTAAAGTTATCGAAACAAAAATGTCGAAAATAAAATAAAGAAGTAAACAAAAGAAAAATCAATAAAAGACCCATAAACCTAGGGATGTGTAAAGGAAACTCCAGAATATAAAAGATAAACCAGGGGAAATGTTCAAGAATTAAAATGTGTTAATAGTATAGCATTAAGGGATCTTATTAGACATTTTCGTGGCTAATGAAAAGCAGGAAACTAATTTATTGCAGGTAATAGGATTATTTATAAGGGTAGAGAAAATTAGAGGACACACAAGAAGCGTCCACATGTTCAGTTAAATGATTTCCCCCTGTATAAGGGGAGTGGAATGAGTGCGTCGCGGACAAACCAAAGAGTCAGTTAGGAGGATGTTTTAATTTGTCGTTTTAAATGTAGGTTTCTAAAATTTCTCCAAATTTTATGAATAAACACCACGAAAGTCACCCAGGTGTGCGAACGAACAAAGGAGTGGAGACTAGTATTTGCTTTTACAAAACATTTTCCTCTTAATGCACAGCCTCCAACACATGTACAGTTTTATAATTGACACTAAAAATTGCTTCTTTGCTTTGAAACTTTATTTTGCTACTTTTCGAGGCAACTTCAACTAGATATAAGAATTCTCTTATAGTTTTGAATGCCGCAGTAAATTACAAAAAAAAGTGTCACGGTCAGTTTCTGGGCATTAAAAAAATGAATTCAAATAAATATTTCAATTAATATTTAAATTCTTATTTAAATCCATTACTATCAAAATATAATAAATTTTCTCAATTTATGAGATTTTAAGAGAAATAAAAATTTGAGTACGCATACTACACTTTTTTTAAAAATAGTCCAAGACAATAAAGAACAGACGGAAAGATAACAATTAAATTTTTATTGCATGAAAAAAAATATTTTTTTAAATAATGGAACACTCTAAAATTTTTGCTAACCTATAATTGATTCATCGGTTTAGTAAACGTCGCGCTTTGAAGCTTCCCAAGAGCAACAGACGGCGTATTAGGAAGTTTTGACCACCGCCAAGTGTCGAGGACCGACGTGTATGAGCTAGAACCAAACTTCCACTCCACGTCAACATGAGGACTTTAGTCTTCGACAGATTATAGAACTGTATTAGCCATAATACACAAAGAAATTTCTGTGGTACCAGAACTCAAAACCATGACTTGACAAAAACAACGTTGACCATGAATTCGTGACTACGACCACTCAGTTACAACGTCTCCTTTCTAATAAAAAAAAATTGGTCAGTGATCCACAGCACAAAAAGAATTTTGAGGGTCGGAATTAAAAAAAACACCATAGATTATATCACTTCAATTAATATATCACATATAAGAATTTAAAAAATTCCCAATCAAAACCTTAAAGCTTATATACAAGGTAAATATTATTCAAAATTCCTACTATTAGTTCACAATCTCCCCATATATATCTTGTTCAAATTTTCAATCCTCAATAAAAAATTTTTTATTCATCCACAGTTAAAATACAATTTTTTAAACTCGTAGTGGATGACACTTGATGTCAATACAGTTTTTTCAAATATTAATTCATTAATTCAATTTAATTAATGAATTAATAGAAATAAACAAAAATAATAGTCCAGACCCATATATAAAAAGGAAAATCACTCGTTGTGTCCCTCTAGTGTAATGCATAGCGCGTTGGACTTCTAATCCAAAGGTCGTGAGTTGGGCTCCCACTTTTGGGATGGATAATTTCTGAGAATGATATTTATTTTTACAACACTATTTTATTGGAATAATTAAATTTAGTTACTGAATAAATGGTCACAAACAAAAATAGTCCAACATCATATTCAGAAAGGAAAATTGCTTTTTATTATGCCACTTATTATTGTGATTTTGTCATATGTTTATACATTTTTTTATATTAATTGTAATTATTTAATAAAAAGTAACTAAAATAAAATTTTTCTTTGTTGACCTAAGTATAGGAATCGACTTAATTTTTTTTTATATTACTTGTTCTACTGTTATAAGTAACGTTAATCAAAAAACATAGATGATGTAACTAGTAGCTTTTTCGGGGAAGGGGGGATGAAAATGGCTTTATTCCTAAAGATTTTCAATACTGGTGTTCAATCAACTATGAACTGATTAGTTTGCGTTTACATCATTGTAAAAACTATATGAGTGCTAATAGTGATAGATTTCGTAATTCTGAGCCACGTTCAAGTGTTATAAGGTTGATATTTAAATAATTATCTGGTTCTTTTATTCTGCACACCTTTCCGCATGAATACTTCGAGTCCACTTGAAAATTGTAATGCTATATAACCATCCTTATTAAACGTAAAAATCTTTGAAATTTTATCCTGAACCTGAAGTTTAATTTTTAAAAAAATGGACAGCTGTGATCAGACACATTTTTGTTTGAGCAGCAATTCGTACTAAATTTACACACAAGGCCGATATTTAGATTCTAGACTGAAAAATAATTATTAATAAATAATTAATACGCTTAAATGATTTTATTTTCTACTTTGAATAACACAGAGAAACATGTCTTAAAAATTTAATTACAGTATGTGTATTTTCGTAATCAAGTGTTCTGTTCAACTCTAATTGTCATGTTAAGGAACTGATTAATATATGACACTTGTGATATATTTATCAGTTGATTTCCATATATTTTTATGTTACTTAAGTCAGGGTTGGGAAAGATCACAATCAAAATACAATGCGTTTGTAGGAATAATAAAAACTGTACAGTTTCTTAAAAAACGTGGATTTCATATTGCAAAATGAACCAAGAGTTAAAAATAGTTAGCATGATTTCTACGACTTGTCCTTTTCTGCATTCAGTCTACACGCTCAAAAATTTCAAAAGTTGTTCCTAGAAATGACATAAAAAGAGCAAAATAGTAAACGAGGAAAAAAATAAATTTGTCTAAAAAACCCGGAAAATTTAGGAAACCAAAATGTGATATAGCATTTTATATCTTTATAAAATTACAAAGAATGGAATATTATGCTCTTTAGTTTCATATTATCTATTTAAAAAAAATCACTTCTTAAATTTTCAGTTTTACACATTTCAGTAGTTTGATATATATTTTTTAGATAACTTATTTACATTCAGTTATTCTCTTTCTCGACATTATTCATTTCCTTTTTTTAGCAGATTTTATTCCACTTCCATGCATATATGTATGTGTGAAGACTTGGAAATTTTACTACGTGACATCTTTTATATTGGAGTGTCATACGGAATGTTTGAATGTGTCGAATCAGCAAAGTGATGAGGCGTGAACATCTTTTTGCAACCTTTTTGATAGATTTCGCTGCTTTTTGGATGTAATCTTTAAGAAATGTTACCTCTTTGTATTTCGATTTTGTTATAAGAGATACAATAGTAAATTCAAAATTTTTTTTCTAGGAAAGGGAAGCTTTTATGATATATTATTGATAAAACGTGAAACGAGAATGTGTTAGGTATTACATAGCACATATTCTGTGATAACATTTTTAGGTTGAATATAGGAAAGCATTACTGAATCTATATTAATAGAATATTAGTATATATTCTACATCAAAATAGTAGAAGCAAACGCTGTATTTTCTTTTCATTTATTATTTAAACCCAAATTATGAAAAGTACCTTTTAAATAGAAATCTCTGTACATGAATTAAAAATGTAAGCTAAAAAATAACAGAAAACTGTTTATAATTCTCGACTTTACTGATCTGTGTGAAATCATACAAAATATTGTTTTGAAACATACGCACAAACAGTTTGTCTATATTTCAGCAGAATCATTTCAATACGAAAAGCTTCCTGATGTAAGTTAAAGTTCATGTAACATATATTATAAGTTTAATTAATTTTGAATTAAACTAGGAATTTTCAAGCTAACTAGATTTATTAATTCATCTACATAGATTGAGTAATTTTTACTTATCGTTTATGTATACTTATTCTTTTTATCTAAAAATGTTTTTTACCATAAGGATTTCTTGTGCTTCCATAAAAATATATTATACGATATTGATTTATTAAACCAAATATTAAGTATAGGTAAATGAATTGTCAGTTTGTATGATGTATTTTATATATATATATATATATATATATATATATATATATATATATATATATATATATATATATATATTATATCTTGTTAAAACTTTCAGCAATAGTTCATAAGATACTTTCTAATCATCCATTCAAGTTCAAATACATTTTTTGAACTTGTGGTGGATGACACTTGATGTTAATACAGTTTTTTCAAATATTAATTCATTAATTAAATTTAATCAATAAATAGCAACAAAAATAACCCAACATCATATATAAAAAGGAAATTTGCTCGTTGCGTCTCAGTAGCGCAATGGATAGCGCATTGAATTTCTGATCCAAAGGACGTAGGTTCGAATCCCACCTGGGATGGCTTAATTTCTGAGAATGGGATTATTTGCTATATTATTTTATTAGAATAATGAAATTTAATTCAAGAATAAATAGTAACAAACAAATAAAAATAGTCCAACGTCATATATAGAAAGGAAAATGGAAAATCGCTTTCTATTTTGTCACTTAATATTGTGATTATGCCATATAAATATTTATATTTATATTAATTGTATAATATAAATATAAATGTATATTTATATAAATAATGTATATAAATAGTGTATATAATTATATATTTGTAAATATATATAAATATTCACATTAATTGTAACTATTTAATAAAAAGTAACTAAAATAAATTTTCTTTGTTTACCTAAGTAGGAATTAACTTAAATTTTCTTATATTACTTTTTATTGATGATTAAGACTCACGAACGCACACATACCGTATGATATATTAATTTCATATTTAATTTAGTTTTTAAAAATTGTATTATAGCCTCTTATATGTCAAAGAAATGTATTGTATTGTGTACTGGAAGCAGGTGCCATTATGCTCCTGTTTCTAAATTCGACCATGTTTGTCGCTTTGCCCAGAATACAAAGAAGTCAAATATTTCCTTCAATTTATTTTTTTTCTGAAAACATCTTTTGTGTTGGCTCTTCCATTGTCGCACAACAACAATGTCATGTAAGGAATTTCTAAAGAAAGGCGAGGTGTTTTTATAAAGAATGTTGGATTATATTTACCAGAGGCGAAGACATTTCCCTAAAAGCCTTTCAACAAACCTACTTTCTTCAGAAATTAAAGAAGATAGTTTGGTACCTGTTTACTGATTGATAAATTTTCTACGCCAGTGCTTCTCAAACTTTCAATATTTGTGCCCAGTTTTCAATCATAATTTACATCGCATCCCCCCCCGTACAACAACTATGTATTGAATGCAATAATTATGCACTTAGACACTATAAAGCAACTTTAATTATAAACTGCACAAATTATCAAGATAAGTATTATATTTTCAACAGATTTTTGAATTTGACAAGCCCATGAAAGTCACTAGTAATTACTAAACTTATTTTAATTTAATATTGATGAAAATTAATTATCAAATACTTTTTGCCGTACTAATGCACTTATAAATATCTTACATCTGTGTGAATATGTATTTTATTTTTATTACGTCTGAATGCATTTTGTTTTATTTCTTTTCATTGTATTAATAATTGTTGTAAATCTTTTATTTTTAACTTTTCGTTATGCTCGCGCCCCCCACAGTTTGAGAACGCTGCTCTTTGCCGAAAAATATAGCGTATAGTTATCTTATTTAATACTCATATGAAAAAAAATCAGTCAAAATTCTTCAAATTCTTCAGTAAAAATGTTTACTACCTAATAAATAGTCCAAGAACTCTACTCTTTTAATGCTATTCGAATATGAAAAAATGAAAGAAAATTTTCAAGCTCTCTTGAGTGGGCATACTTCATGGAAGCTTAAACTAAGTGCCCATAAAGACAATAATAACATAGGATTTATTTACTTAAAAAATAAAGATAGACACAGTCAAAATAGTTCTTTACTTCCCTCTCCAAATATCATTGTTTTAAAAAAATCAGTGGTAGAGAGAAAAACGTCATATCTGCGAAAATATTATTTTTATTGTAGATCTATTTTGCAAGAATTTCATCATTGCCGTTTACTGTGTTTTTATTCCTTTCAAAAATTTTACAGATAAAATCTCTTATTCATTTAAGAGGGGGGAAGCTTATTCTCCACGGTCTCAATATCTGGCATAAAATAATTGAATCGCAACAAACCGGGATTTTTAGTCACTTAAAGAATGCAAATATCCACAAAATGTTGTATTTTTAGTATACCACGGATATATAAAAGAGAAAATAAAACAAATGCTAGTCGAGAAGAGTTCTGTTGCAGTTTCGCAATTGATTTTGTTTAATGCTTCGAGAGAGAAGAGGAAGTTTTCGTTATATTTTCCAATTTTGAAACAAGCCTTTTTTTTCTTTTTAGATGAACGGGTTCTCTTTATTTTAATTTTTTAGTTGACAAACACCCATAGTTCCTTGTTGTAAGTGTCTCAAGTAATCTGCAGGCACGTGGGGAGAATTGGAGGATTTGTTAACTGATAAAGGAGTATAAATTTTAGCTAATTGATACTTCACTATAGGATGACATGTGTATTTAAGTCTACGCGGTACCTTTCCGAAATCTTTTTTTTGGATAAACAGTAAAATTAAAATTAATTAATAATTTTTTTCTGATTAATTAATTAAACTGATTCTGAAGGAAAGTCAGCTTAGCAAGCCCTTATAAAAAATAATTTAAAAAAAGTTTCTTAAAACTTATAAAAAATACTGAGTTGCTTTAAGTGTTTCCTGTTTCTTGGATTATTGGAAACAGAAGTTAGTGTATGGAAATAAATGTCTGAATACATTTTACTGAATTGTGATAGTGACCGGCATGTCGCGGGTTCGAGTCCCAGTGCCACTTTAGATCCACCCTATAGAGGGGCTGATGCATGTTAAATCTGTCATGTCAAGGCTCAATGCCCTCCTGCTGATGTGGTAGTTAGGAAAAGGAGCTGCCAGCTCAGGTGTCGTCCTTGTCACTTGACCGAGGTTTAAAGTTACGAGTTCCATCTCCAATAGCCCTCGTGTTGCTTTATATTGCGCCGTTAATTTAACACTTATTCATTCCTCTAAAATAATTGAAAATAACAAACTTAAATGTGATAAGGAAATTTTTTTATCCTCGACTACAAAAGAAATTAAATAAGTGTAATTTTTTTCAGTGAGCGTAACTTGCCTTGAGATTTATAAGTTAATCTAGATTTTTTCAATTCCTACTGTTCCTACTTTCCCTATATATATTTATATATACATAATAATTCCAATAATTTAAACTTTAACAGCTTTTGGTTTATTTATGGTCCAGTCCTTCAGGACAACCGTGTAATTATTTTAATTAGTTACCCGTCTAACGGGGACTTCTGGAGCTATATCCATCCACCCCTCAAATCATGTGACTTCCCGCTGGGTATAAATAGTGAGATCTCTGGAAAATCCCGTATCTTCTCTGTCTTTTGTCTGCCTTCAACATGTAGTCGACTGCAGTGCGTTGTGTGCTCGTTGTCTTTGTTCTGTGTAGCGTCGTCCATTCTTTATGTTTGTAATATGCCTATGTGTGTCAAGATGTGCAATAAACTGGATTACTAACCTCAATAGACTGCCTCGTCAGTGCCATCAAATAAAAAACACCAATCATCTAAAATATGATCCACCTTACAGTAATAATATCCACTCGCCAAGTCTTACAGTTATATTTACTACTCGCAGAAATATTATAGAAATATTTCATACATATATATCTTGTTTAAATTTTCAGTCGTTAATAAAATACATTTTATTCGTCCACTCAAGTTCAAATACATTTTTTTAAACTTGTAGTGTTTGGCACTTGATGTTACTATAATGTTTTCAAATATCAATTCATTGATTAAACTTAATTAATGAATAAATAGTAATACGCAAAAATAATAGTCCAACACCATATATAGAAAGGAAAACCGCTCGTTGTGCCCTTGTACAGCAATGTTTAGCTCGTTGGATTTCTAATCCAAAGGCCGTGGGTTCGAATCCTACCCAGGATGGCCTAATTTCTGAGAATAGGATTTATGAATGAATAAATAGTACCAAACAAAAAAGAAGTACCATACAACCTCGTATATGCAAGGAAAATCACTTTTTATTTTGCCACTTAATAGTGGGATTCTATCATATGTATATGCATATTTATATTAATTGTAATTTAACTAAAATAAAAAATTGTTTTGTTGACTAAGTAGCAATTGAATTATAATTTTTTTGTATTACTTGTTATTAGTTTTTGATACCTTTTGATATGAAAGTATATATATATATATAGATATTTTTTTATCCTTAACAATTTTTCAAAGTACTAGCAATCAAAAGAGCATTTCATAATTAAATCATCAGTCGTGCGTTTCTAACCATTATTATGAATGCAATAAGCTAACGTGCTTCAATTTTTATGACCAAATATAGTTATACATTATTTTCTTATTCTTCTCATTACCACTCATGCGTTATCATTCATTTAAGAATGTATCCTAATACTCGTACTCTTAGCATTAATAATCTTTTAAGATCATATCTGCACGTTTTCTAAACCCAGAAGAATACAAACGTCACTATTAGTTATCGTCTCGAATATTTACTTTGCAAACAAGAGTTTTGGTGCTTTTATAGACAGGAAACCATAGTCAGTAATGTTTCTCGGACTCTGGTTAAAGAAAAAACAGATGGAAAAGCAAAACGTGTTGAATTGGGAATAATTGTGAGGGATGGATTGAAGTTAATTGGAACTGAAAGGTTCGAGTATCATATAAAATTTTTCATTCGATAATCTTTCTGAGACATCTGTGTAATACCGACAGAAAAATAGAAAATAAAGTATAACCAAAATCGCAAACAGAAGAGTGTAAATTACAATTTAGAGATTTATAGACAGGATAGTAGGCGATTTTGAAAGCTCTTTCTAATGCTTTAAACCAGTGTTTCTTGAACTAGGGGTTGCAAAAATTTTAGGAATTTTGATACATCTTTCTGTATAAAATAACTTATTCACCGTTAACAAATAGTTAAGACACATTGTATCTGAAATATAATGAAGGTAAGGAAATACATACAATGAAGAACTCTTTTTGACTTAAATTATAACAAAACCATTTTTTATTTGTTCTGCCCATATTTCTGTTAATTCACATATTAATTAGTTGTTGAATTACCGACAGATTCGGGGCTGCAAATTGTTTTTAATACGAAAACCATAGAAGAGTTTTAGCTAGGAGTTGCAAAAAAACCCCCATTCCAACAATTTTTCTCTCTCTCTCTCTCAAAATTGTAATACAGTATCTATTACCTTTTTCTACAACTGATTTGTGTGAGACATTTTCGTCTTTAACAACGGAAAATCAAAGTATCGATCAAATCTAAAGAATATTGAGTAAGTAATTCATCCGGATTTGTCGACTATTATTCCAAGATTTAATATCATATTTAAAAATAATCAAGAACATCCTTCCCATTGTTACTAAAATTTTGTATATGCCATTGTTAGTAATAAGTGAGGATCTCAGACGTGAACTCATAATGACTACTCTTAATAAACAGATTATAGTTTATGTACAATTACGTAATAATTATTTTAGATTATAGTTTATGTGCGTGTAATTACATTGTATAATGTTTTCTATTTTGTTACTTAATTTACTTTGTTATTTTTTAAAATTTCTATATCCTTAATTTCAAAGTAAAAACTTATTGCAGATGTTTATTACTGCAAAGAATAGATTACTACAAATAAAACACATATAGAAGTAACTGAGCTTGTGTACATTTTGAGCAATGTGAATGGCGTCGCCCCCTCGAGAGCTCCTGTTTTAAACAACAAAAAAAGAAAAGAACAATATACTCCAGTTTCTAACGTTACATCTTGAGGATTTCCAAATACTATAATAACTCTTAATATATATATATTCAAAACGTTACCTCAAATGGGGCATTAATTAGACAAAGAATAAGCTTCAAATTTATTTCGAGTTAGCATTTGAAAGCTTAGATAAAACTGCATTTCTGGTAAGCAGTAAACATGATGTAATTATCAAACGAAAATATAAAAATCCGCATATGCGTTTGAATTTCTTGAAAAATGGAACTTGAATACATTAAAAGATAAAAAAAAATGTCCTAGAGTATACATTAATGTATAATCTTTTTCCTTTCTCAAACACTGAAAAGTGTTTTAGATAAAAAATAACTCGATCGCTTAGAAACAATGCTCAATATCCTTATAAAAAGACAACAGAGTCAAACATTAAAAGCTAACTCTCTATATATTTTTAATAACTAGCAGCTAGCCAAACAAGAACTCGGTCTTTAATCTTGTGTAATGCGTGTTTTCTATAAAAATGAAATAATAATGTGTTGTAGGATGTATATATAATTGCTTTATTAACATTAATTCTAAAGGTAAACACTCATACAGTACTGTCGCTGTTAGCAAAGAGAAGATTAAATTATTTTCTTTCGACAACAAGCACTACAATATTTAAGCAGCTTATTTGAAGAGGAAAATTTAAGCTAAAATATAAAAATGGCATCTTTTATAAGTTTTTAGGGGTTTATTGAATATTTCATAAAATAAGTAATTGTTTCTTCAGTTTTGAAAAGTTATTAGAATCATTCTTTTTATGTTTAAGCATAATACGTAGGGTAATTTATTTTTGTTTTCTATAATGTTTAAATTGGAAATAAACTTTACTGAATCGTCGTTGTTCTTGCTAAAGTTTTGTGATTCAGTGCTCATATCAAATATGGATATTGAACATCAGAATTTTCTTCACTATATGAAAATGGCTTATAGAGAATTTTTAAATAATGAGTTCAACTGAATTAAATACAATTTTTATCAGATATTTTATAACTGAGATTATATTATATTAGCAATAAATAAAATATTGCAATATTTCTCAATAGGTGCTGGAATAATACTTAAAACAATTTAAGTTAAAAATATATGAAAAATATTTTTGACCCTGTTAAATGTCAATTACTATAATTAATCAATCATTAATTAGAATTCAACTTGAAGTAAGGAGATCAAAGTATCTTTTCGGATGAAAATATAAAGTGAAGATAACAAACTCTTTGTCTTAATGAAAACTCTCAGTTGAGAGATGCTCTGGTATTCTCTAAAAATATATCTAACTACCTTGAATGTGAGCATTCTAATTAAGAAATTCCTCTGTTTTCTCACAGTTGTTATATATAAGAGGTAATTCTCACTGCAAACTTCCCTTGGAATACGAACACTTCCTTTTGGTCTTCTCTTATTATTAATTGAACCGTAATTAAAAAAGTGAAACGTTGTTATATATGTTACCGTTAAAGCTCGAAAGCCGTTAATGTTCAAATTACCTAGCTAATCTGCAGATTAACTGATTTACTGTGTTAAAGAGTGGACTCATGAGTTTTCCCACGTTTTAACTAGATAATCCTCCCATTTGCGGTTTTCGTATCGTTAAAATTCAAAAGCTTCTCTGTCTCATTTCCTTTCTGTTAGGAACTTTGATTCAACGTTGACTTATCCCTAGATAATTTATCCTAAACATTTAGAAACGGAGTGGCAGAGACTGTAAATATATTTGATAAGACTCCTTGAATTAATCATATAATTCGTAAAGTAATTTCCTTGATGTAATAATGTGTTAAGGTATCCGACTACGTTCGGAACCGTGATTTTGCAAAGCGCATAAATGGATAATTTTCATGATATTTAGTGTCACTTAGATTAGAATATATGCATAAAACTGTTTGAAGGACATTTTGACAAATAAAATTTATTTAAATATAATATTTTGGTAAAAAATTAACTTAGAATAATCTTTTTTCTTATAAACTTTTTTATAATAATATTTTAATCTTTAATTATTATATTATAATAATATAATAATCTTTTTTAAAATAATATTTTGCCTGTATATAGCTCAGACCTCTCTACAGAGGCTCAACTAGAATTTTTGAAATATGTAACTTAGAAGTGGGTTTATTCATATTTTACGACAACAGAGGGGAGCAATTTTAAGAAAAAAAAATGCCAATAATTATTCCAATTGTTGGTAACTCTGAAAATAATGTGAATTTTTCAAAAATTCTAGTTGAGACTCTGTAGAGAGGTCTGAGCTATATACAGGCAAAATATTATTATAACAGAATCATTTTTCACAAAAGGAGAACATTTGGAAAAAAGATTATTCTAAGTTAATTTTTTGCCAAAATATTATATTTAAATAATTTTTTTTGTCAAAATATTCTTAAAAGAATTTTATGCATGTATTCTAATCTGAGTGACACTAAGTATCATGAAAATTATCAATTCATGCGCTTTTTTAAAATCACGGTTACGAACGTAGTCGGATACCTTAAACCGTTTGATTTTATATATTGCAGTTTTTCACGATTGATTCTATCAACTGATGTGTTAATTGTTCGATTGTATTTATTTGATTCTTCAGACATAAAAAATAAATAAATAACATCTAATTTAAGCGTACAGAAAAGTTGCTGATGTACCACTAAAGATCTTATTTTCCCTTTAGCGTGTATCTAGTAGATAATGTGCACAATGACGTGTGTCCAGTTGGTAATGTGCAGATTATCTAGGCGATTCACAGATTGCATAGGTAATTTAAAAGATAAAACACATATTCCGCACTTTAACGGATCACCCCAGTTAATGTGCAGATTACCTAACTAATAGCAAGATTAAAAAATCAATTAAATTTGATTGACGGCTATACAATATTTTTTATTTACCTTTAAGATAACTTTACCGATATTAAGTTACTGTATCTTTTAATGTATTAAATTTTATAATAATAAATTCGTCTTTAATTTGATTTAGTAGACTAATATCGATAAGGGAATTGCACAACAACACACTTAGGAAATCCTAATAAAAAGACGAATCCTTGGATTTTACTATAAACAAATGAATACACATGCAAATAATAATACACATAATATAAACCTAAAAATTACTCATGTTTGAAGGTCAGTTTCTTTTTTT